ACGAGAGAAATCCGTGGTGTTGGTTTTCCACGTCCCTTAAAATGTGGAGGATGGTTAGGTCTACTACTACTCAATTTTTGGTTTGTGTTGGTTTGAGGTGAATTGTCGGTCGGTAGAAAACATCCCGGCTTTTGAGTAGTAGTGGTAGTAGTAGCTCCTAATCATTCAGGTTTTGAGGTGGGGTAGTTGGTAAAAAACATCCCGACTACCCGGATCGACTTACTAACCCGGAGGGCTTGGAATACCTTTAGGGGGTGTGCACACTTAAAGTAGTTGTTTCCGTTTCCAAGGAGCAGTTGTGGTACCGGTGATAGTTCCGGGGTGGCCGTACATAACAACGGATCACCGGGTTCAACCAGAGTGTTGAACACCGCCCTTCTAAATTACTAGGAAGTTAGTTACAAAGTGATTTTTGGAGAAATTCAATAGAGGAGAATTTTGGCGTTTCATGTATTTTGGAACTATTATGGTTCACGAGTTATATGATTGGGATTTTGTAAAGATATCGTTTACTTATGATTTATATATTGTTTTGGAAATATTTTTATACTAGTGGTTGTATGAATTTATATATATATATACTATTATTATTATTTTAAAAAGTTAGGTGGGACTTACTTAGCATTATTGCTAATGTTTGTTTCTTTTATTTTTCTTTCTGTACATGATTTTTGTACAGGTGTTGAGTTGATCGATGTTGAAGTTGATTTCGAAAGAGAGCTTTCGCTAGAAAACATTATTAGTAAATCATTGTAAATTTCTTTTCAATAACTTTAATCAGTGAGCTTTTGATTTTGAAGTTTAAGTTGTTTTAGCCTGTGCACTCGGTTAAGAGAGAACCGAGTGTGGCGGTAGCACCCCTATTTCCCTTTGAATTTTCCGCTGCACATTTTGTGATGTTTTCAAATAAAGCTAATAATACGTTCCAATAAATCATTATTTATATGTATTTTTGGGTGGGAAATTTGGGGGTGTTACAAGTACAGAAACTCTGCGTAAGAACTCCACGATGAACGGATGAAGAGGGAAGCGAAGCCCATCAATCAAAGCGTCAAGATGCACTAGCACGTGCCCCGGTCGATGCCTCATTGGGTACCGGATGAATCCAACATAATATTTACGAATGCGGTTAAAATGCAGGGGAATGCGGGGTGGCCGCTCGGGCATTCCCTTGTTATAAATCTGGACATCGTCCCCTGATAGGCATCCGTCATCACGTGGCTGTTCGGTGTTTTTTCCTGCGAGTGGATTGCCGGAGTCAGGTACTTGGGAAGAAGAGCCTTCGGCCTTGTTCCCAGCAGATTCTGAGCTAGAAAGGAAATACATAAAATCACTTGAGGAATTCTGAGAATTCTAGAGAGAGAAAGCTTGAAAATACCCAAGAGAATTCTGAGCTTAGAAAGAAAAATGAGGAAACAACAAGAGAAATGAGGGGCAAGCACCTCTCTATAAATAGGGAAAGTGCCACCCAAAACCCTAATCCATGAACAACACGTGGCATTAAGTGGTTATGATTAATCCGGGTGTATTTATGGTTCATCTTTAGGCACGTACCTGAACGGGCAATAAAGAAGCATGATTGTGAGTGCTGGTTAACCAAGCAAACGAACGTCGAATGGGCACTTACGTTTTGAGGCAAATCTTCACAAAGAAAAGCAACGAGGTCCATAGGAATGACTAAAAACTACTCAGATCGCCGATTACCGAACCGCGAACCAAGTAACTAAGATGTTTTAAATTAGCCGAGTGACGAACGGGCTCACAGAGAATTAGCAAAGATCACAAAGAGTTGCTGGTTAGAAAAACTGCTAAGTCCTAAAAAATGACCTGAAGCCCGAACGGCTATCAACATACGAAGGAAGCCGAATGCGGGTAGACTATCAGAGACATCTGAAGCCAGAAAAACTGCTAAGTCCTAAAGAGCGATCAGACGCCCGAACGGCTATCAACATACGAAGGAAGCCGAATGCGGGTAGACTATCAGAGACATATGAAGCCAGAAAAACTGCTAAGTCCTAAAGAGCGATCAGACACCCGAACGACTATCAACATACGAAGGAAGCCGAATGCGGTAAAACTGAAGGAAGCGTATGAGGCCAGAAAAATCAGCCAAGTCCTAAAAAATGAACAGAAGCCCGAGCGGCAAACATACGGTGTTAGGAGTGTTGAGTAAAAAATAGTCAATAAACCGTTAAGTACTACAAAACCTTCAGGGCTGCTAAGGCCAAGCATTCCTCAGATTGCTCGACCGACACCTTGGGGACGGTGAAATTGTTGAAGAAGGCAGAGGTAGACCAAATCTGGCTTGCTGAGCAGCCACCTCTTTCTACAACATCATAAACCGGATCCGCCAGTGAGATCCGGTCAACCTGGCCAGACAGCTGGACGGTGGGTATATCACCCGCACCCTGACCGGTTTCTTGAGCAGCTTGGAAGTGCTCGGGAAATTGTTGCATTTGATCAGAACCAAACCGATCATCGACCATCATGGCATCGAATTGGTCCTGATGGACCTGTTGTATTGGCTGTGGCTCTGGAACTGGTTGAGAAGACCCAACATCCTGAGCAGTAACAGTAGAGGGAATAGGTTGGGGGTTTTTCCTGGCCCTTTTCCGTTTACCAACCCCACCAGCTGTCAGAACTCTGTTATTATCCATGGGTAGGTCTGGATTTGGTGTTGAAAAATGAGAAAGGAAAATGTTAGTACCGAGCGGCCTTAGCGTGTGAGAAACTAGAAAAAAGAAAAAGAGAACGTTTCTCGCACGGGAAGGACCGCCCGGACCATGGCACTTGATTTCTCAAAACAAGTAAACCCAAGAGAACGGGCAGTACCTATCCCGGCTTCAACTAGCCGATCGGGAGTCAGATAACTCATGATATCCATGCATTTATCTTTCTCCACAGCAAGCATGTCCTTGTAAATTTCTTCAGTAAGGACTGGATCAGGAGTTTTGCGGGGGAAGACATTCCATTTGCGGGGAACTAGGCCGTCCGGGACAGACACGAAGAAAAACCGGTCTTTCCACCCCTTGATTGAAGTTGGATTGCCCTTGAACAGAATATGTCCCTTCGGGCACTAGTGGCCAGATAGCCATGGGTTTGTTGAGGGGCTACCTTAAAAAATTGATGGAAGAGATCTAAGGTTGGCCGGGCACCGACATCTTTACAACGGCAAATAAAACCCGCCATTGCCCGATAGGAATTCGGCATAATTTGGGCCGGTACAATTTCATAGAAATTAAAAAATGAAATGAAAAAAAGAATGTAGCGGAAACCTAAGGCCGGCCCTAATTGAGTCAAAATGAACTACAACCATCCCGGCCTATGACGCATTGGGTGAAACCCAACTTGAAGTCGGAAATTCACTGGGTCTGGGATAAGGGCCGAAATTTCGGCCCTATTGTGGGAGGTCAGTTTTTGCCGCCTCTCCCTAATCAGTTTTAGGTCAAGGGTATTGAGAGGGAAATCGTTGGGACGTCCGGCCGCCATGGAAATTAATTCATCCTCAGACTTGGTATCGTCGGAATCTTCACTGGAGGAAGAAGAGCTGCCGGAGGAGTCACCCGTCTCCGCCCTAACCTCCGCCGTCGCTGCCTTGGAACCTTCATCAAAAGGGACGGTGATAATCTCCACACCACGGACCTCCCCTTGAGAAGCCATTTCCGAATCAGAACACCGTTGGGAATTCATCTCGACCGAGTCAAGGATGAGGCGAGAAAGCAAGGGAGGGAGAATACCTGAGCGACGAAAGCTGGAAGAAATTTCAGAAAACGGCAAGGCGAAGAAAATTGCAGAATCGAAACCCGGATTTGAGAAGTTAAAGGCTAATTTATAGCCTTTGAACCGCTGTGTCAAGAACCAATCAGGGAGCGACACGTCACTAGGAGCATTTAAGCTAAACGCGTGTCTAATGAAAAGACTAAACGACGGTTATCATGATAAATATGGGGAAATGAAACGACAGCCGTCAAATCACAGCATGGGGAACTGACTACATCTGTACCCCGATCGCCATTCGGCAAATTGCAACATTGGTGCTCATACTTCCTAATGCACTCACTGTCATTCGTGACATCGGGAGTGGGGGACTTGTGTTGGATATTGATCCAGAGGCCCAATACCCGGATTAAAAAGGCTCAAGATACCCGGCCCAAACAACTAGCCCATCACTCTATGATGGGTAAAGCCAGCGAAGAATTCATGCCGAACAAGATTCGGCCCAAGTAAGGGTTGACCCAGTAAGAAGATATATCGAACGGAGTTCGGACTATATATCATACTTGGGCCAATTTGACAGCGTCTTCAGCATGGTCCAACATCCCGTTCGAGCAACGGACAACCGGCAAGTGGCCAGGTGCAATTAATGCCAGATTGTGACATGAGCAAGTGGAAACATGGGTGACCAAGTCGGTGGAACAACAACCAATCAGCATAGAGCATCCCATGCTCTCCATTAGTATAAATAGAAGGTTTAAAATCATCGTAAGGGTTAACATTTCAATACTCAGACTCTAGAATAACACTATTGCTCTTATTTCTTGTATTAAAACATTATTCCGACCTACCGATCGGTAATTTCCTTGTAATCAGACAGGTTAATTAATATGAGTGGGCTTTTGAGTATTAGTGAGTTCATATTTTATATTTGGTTATACACTTTGATTATGTACCATTTCTGATATATCCAAAGTTCGTGTTGGGCTTTCGAATCTACGGGACTTACCTTCAACAGGGATAATTTACAGGGATTACTTGCTATATCTCTTCTCATCCACTTTAGAAAGTACATAAACTTATTTACAGGGACTATTATTGACGGAAGGTCCATAAAGTTGTGATTATTCTGAAATAATCGATAGTTGAGATTATTATAAGCGGACCGTCAATAATAGTTGGGATTATTATAATCAATTTTTCCTGATTTATCGGTAATTTCACATAATATGAGGACATGCATAAGTACTCCCGTGCATCCCACGGTACTAAGCTAGTATTGATAATACGAATGTATTACCGCCGGTTGTAGATGTAATTTGCGGCTCCCATGATGGAAACGAAGGTGATGACAGTCTTTAGCATCGGTCCATCCTTCTCCGACAAGTAGACCAGAGCTGTAAAGAGAGGGTGCAAATACTAATTCTTTTTAAAACAGGGCGCAATCTCTAATTTCACTAAAAACAGGGTGTCAAATTTTCCCTTTAACATTTTCGTCTGTGTTCAACGCATGGTCAGTTTCGCAGGAAGCGTGGGAGAGTTTTCTTGTTCAAGATTTGACTATTGTCGAAGCTGTAGGAAAATATTTACATGGACGCCAATAACTGGAGGGCGGCGCAATCTCTTGCACAGGCTCAGGGTGGTGACGCCACCAGCATAACAGCGGGGGCGGCTGCACCAGCACCAGCGGCTTCTGGAGCCATGGAGACTGGCGATTGGCGGGCCCAGCTCCAACTAGAATCCAGGCAAAGGATTGTTAATAAGATGTAAATTTTATGCACTCTTGCCAAATCTATTTGGTAACTTGACGCTTGTAGGTGTATCTATTCGAAATGGCAGCCAATTCTAGAATTTTACTTTCTTAATAACCCTTAATTTCCGGATTTTACTATCTGCTTGCATACCAGTTACAAAGCTTCTTTTCAGATGAACTAGCACCGTATTTTCAAGCCTTTTTATTCATGATGGCGTTGCGAGCAGACAATCACTTTGGGCTTTCGAAGCCCACCTTTATTGTGTTTTTCTGGAAACCCATACATAGTACGAACTTAATTTCTTCAGAGGCATTATATTCTATGTCCATTCGGGAGAATCCCAAAAATGCAATTTGTTTTTCTTATTATAAATTATGGAGTATCAAATTCAAGGCTTTATTCGTGATAGGTGTCTATAAGTTTTTTTTCTATTTCAATGGGTTCGGGTGGGTAATATATAAACAATATCAATGTTGTGATGATGTCCCTGAGTTCCAGTTCTCATGTAAAGTTGGAGATGGTATCTTTATTAATTTCTATCTTAACTGATATATGGATTATGATGGTATAGAATGGAAACTTTAAAGCAGCATCTTCCGTTCTCCGGACAAGAGGGGCTGCACGAACTTAAGAAAATTGCAGTGCGGTTTGAGGAAAAAATTCATGCTGCTGCAACAGATCAGGTATGCATTGTATTGGTTATTCATTATGTATAGTTTTGATGTACTCAACTATTCGTATGACTGTTAAATGTTTCTGTTGCAGTCAGATTATCTGCGGAAGATATCCTTAAAGATGATCTCAATGGAAACAAAATCACAAAATCTTATTGCCAATCCTCTGCAGGCTAATGCTGCAAATAGTAGTCAAAGTGCGCAAGGAACAGGTAGCAACAGATGTTTGTGTCTAGTTAGTGTATGTATGACACAACTGGATGACATCTAATAGGGGTTCTTAGAGACTCCGGATTAGGGTAGCTGGTAGGATTGAGAGGAACGGCTTTTGGGTATCTCGTAGCTTTCTCGGTTCTATATAGGGAGTGTTGCGTGGACATTTGCTAGTACTTTGTTCGATTCCTTTTGTGTTTACTTGCTTACCAACTTTTCTATATTGCCCTTTTCACCTTGCTTCGTGTTTTCTTCATCTTTATTGCCCAAGCATTTTTGTCCACACAGTTCATACAACCATTTACATTGGATGTCCATTTATTTTTCTTGAAAGTCCTAATTTTTATGTAAATCTTCAAAATCCAAATAGTTGTAAGTTTTTTCAAATTTATTTACCTAACATCAAAAACTTTCCTTGCCTGGGTGTTCTTGGAAACGGTTTCTCTACTCCTCCTGGTAGAGATTTTCTTATCCATTCATCTTCATGGGATAAAGGTTTCCCTTATCTCATGGTACAGGTTTTCCATACTCCCCTACTATTGGCAGGGACTTAATTGGGTTTGCAGTTTGCTTTTTGCACAACTGCAACTAGTTCAAAATCTAGATGTAAGATGAAATAGTACTATGCTAGATGAAAGATTAAACAATCAAAAGTATTTTGATAGATGGTAGATCAAAATCATTACGTTTCCTTAAACTGGCTTGGTGAAGTGGCACGTTTAAACCAACCTTTTAAAATTGTAGCCATCTTTTATGGGAAGGCTTGTGGAAGTTGGACCAGTGTATGCTACTTTACTCTTGACTCGTTGAGACAGTCTGGAGTCTACCCTAACCAATGAAAATGCTAGTAGTTACCTGTGCTCAATCAATGATCTTATTTTTATTAAAGCAGCTCTTATTTTGGTCAAAATCACTGTTTGTTTACGCAGTCTCTTTGTGCTTAAGCACAGGGGTAAGACTGCGTACATCCGACCCCCCCTTACCCCACCATAGGTGGGAGCCTTTGCGGCACTGGGGTAATGATAATGATGATGATGATGAATAGCAATTTGATACCTTATTTGGTACTGAAGTAGTTTTCATTGTTTATGGATGCTGCACTTTGTTTCTGTACTATAATTGCTTGTGCAGTTGTGCATGACCTTGACTCATATCTTTTTCGCGTCACATGATACCTTTCTCTAGGTTCACAAACAATGCAGCCCCAAGTTAGTAACCAAGCTCAGCCACTTCCTGTTCCAACAGTGAGCAATCAACCGCAAGGCCATCAGCAGCTACTATCACAAACTATTCAGAACACTATCACATCATCTGGAATGCAGAATTCTACAAATCTGGTGTCTGCACTTCCTACTGTCGGCAGTTTGACTCACACTAACATTCCAAATGCAGTAAGCCGAAATTCGAATTTGCAAAATGTACAAGGCATACCTACTGTTGCTCAAAGTTCAGTTGGAAATACCCTGAGCCATTCAAACGTGGTCGTGAATTCTATTAGACAGATGCAAGAGAGGCAACAACAGGTCGTTTCCCAGCAGCAACAACAATCTCAGGCCTCTAATACACATCCTTACCAACAGCACCTTCGCCAACAAATGTTGAAACAGAATATCCAATCTCAAATGCAGCAGCAACAGGAGCAACAGCAACAGCCAAACCTACTACAACAAACTCAGATGCAATCTTCTCAGCAAGGAGTCATGCATTCTTCTACAGTACAATCTAATCTGACCAACCTTCAGCAGAATCAACAGTCTTCTGTTCTACAACAAAGTCAATCCATGATCCAGCAAAGATCACAATCAGTCCTCAAACAACATCAGCAACAACAGACTCCAATTATTCATCAACAGCAAGGAGCAATGATGCAGCAGCCAATGTTACAAGGTCAACTGCAACAATCTCAACCGGAACATCTGATTGGGCAGCAGCAAAATGTTGCAAATATCCAGCAGAACCAACCGATTGGGCAGCAACACATGCCTGATATGCAGCACCAGCAAACTAGGCTGATGGGCCAACAGAATAACTTTACTAGTGTTCAACAGCAGCAGTTAATTAATCAGCAAGTTAATATTCCAAGTGTACATCAACAGCAAATAGGCACTCACGGGAATGTTGCTGGCCTGACACATCAACAGCTGGCTGGAAATCAATCTAGTAACTCTGGACTGACTGCTAATCAGCATCCTATTCAGATGTCACAACATTCTAAGGTTCAAGTGCAACAACAAATGCTTCCAAGTGCTACACTTTCGCCAGCTCAAGGTCTTCAATCTCAGCCACAGCAGCAAATGTTGCAACAGAGTCAACCCCAGCCTGGAACATTACAGTCACCATTGGGTTTGCAACAGCAGACAAATACTCTACAACGAGGAATGCAGCATAGGCAACAAAACTTTCAACCACAAAGGGTTACTCCGGATGCATCATCCAGTATGTCTTTATCCATGTTGAGTAGCTTCATCATTTTGCATTCCTTTTCTTTTTTCTAATAAACATTTGCTACTGTAGCACTTTGTGACCCGAATATAGCGTTGCTTGCTTATATATTCAGTTGGCTTTAAAGTGCTTTTTATGGGAATAAACTCAGTTACTAATCAAATCAAAGTCCAAGTCATGTTTAATACAAGGAGTAGGATACCAGATAAAGAACCGGCAGCTCAAGTTATGAGTGAACCACCCGGTTCACAGACCAAAACATAATACTAGCAAAACTACCTTCAATTTCTCTAATATCTTTTTCTAAAAGACCAAACACTCTATTATGACCCTTATGATTTTCTGAATTTCCGGATAGCTTGTCTAACTCTATATCCACATAGTCCTGAACTTGTCCCTTGAGCCAGCTAAGAGCTTCCCAAATACACAAAATCTCTGCCTCCTGAGAAAAGCACATCCCCAAACACGGTTTAGCCACACCCACAGTGAAACCCCCCATGGAGTCAGCGGCATCTGTAAATTTTACTCTCCCTAACTCCGCACATGCCACAAGGAAAATCTCACCTGCTGCCCCCTTCCTGCCCCTTCACGCCCTTCTGCACCAGCTTCGAAAACAGCCTTCACTACATTCATCTGAACTCGCTGCCAGATCTTCTGTTATGCTCGTCCCATAGACCCCAACTTCTGAGGATTAGCAAGCACAACTCCCTGTTTTTGGCCAGAAATTCCGCCTGCACGGTGGCTGCACCCACTCCTAAAAGGAACCAGCTTGCAGTCCCTTCAATCTCCAGCCAATTGATTTCCAGCCTGCAACAGCAACTGGGCACCACATGAAAGATATAGTAAGAACTCATCCCCTCTGCCATGCCCCCCCTGCTTTATTAGGAATAAGTAGGATAAACCCACATTGCTGCCCACCCCACCTACTCCGTTGCACAATCCTTCCCTTTCCCTATTAACCCCCAGTAGCAGCTCTTAACTGAGTAACCCCTTCTATGCTCCCACCTCCAGACCATATGATTTGGGACGTCCCTAATGGTAAAAGGAATGCTCTTGACCAGCAGCCTATCTCGCTGGTCAAGAATATCAGAAATAACTTCTTGATCTCAAGCCTGACTAGTTTCCATGAGAAGTCCATTCAGGCCCGAGATACATGGCGTGGAAGTCCGAGGATTTGCTTCATCTGGTAACCACAGATCCTACCAAATTTTGAGCCATCCCCAACATGCCTACATAGCACTACAAAAGAGGGGAGCTTTTCATAGTGATAAGCCTTCCGCCCATAGTTGTCAATGGCGAGATATGGCGCGCGCTATATACGCCATCGCCATGAAAATGGGGCGGGACGCCAGCAGTTGAGGCAGCAAAACTATTTTACTATTTTTACTATGTAAGGTACGAAAGCGCTGTTGATCAAAGACAATGGAAGAGGGGCACGAGACGCAGTTGCTGGGAGATTCTAACTTTTTCAAATTTAGGGAACATTCTGCCACCGGGCCTTTGTTTCTGCTCCTTCTTGCAGTGAAGAACATGAAAATGCAGGTTCAAGCAAAAGGCGCGAGGATGAACTGATGAAGCTGAATGGCATGTCTGTTTCTTACTCCCCACCTTGAGCACAAGGTGGTTGTCAAAGGGGGAGTGATGATAGGGACCTAGATAGTACTAGTAATAAGAATAGTATTAGTCTTTTACTATTGTACAATTAAAGGGTTGTAAGCCCAGAAACTTAGGGATGAGGGACAGCCCTTTAGGAGAGTAATATAATAATGAACGGGTAAAGGGAAAAGGGGTAGGCAGAAATTTAGTTGGGGCTGGGACATGGGAGTGTGAGACTACTCAAAGTGTCTCAACTGTTCTTCTCTTTCTTTCTATTTCCGCCACTGTTATTGTTACATCTTTCATCAATCTACTACAAAATTCTGCTGCGTTTGTTGAAGTTCCTAACACCTCTAACACCCACACCTTCACCTACTGTCCTCCCGCCATCCCCCGTGCTACTGTCCCCCCTCTTCATGCCACTGTGAACTATCCCCTTACCCCCAATCCCCTTACCCCTCCCTAAATTCCTAACCTCTACAGCATCGGTCCATGCCCATTAACCCACACGGTCTATTACCAGCGGCTCCCTCCCATGTCAAACCCCTTCCTTCCTTCTGCTTTCAGCCAGACTCCAAACGGATTCTCCTAGCTCACATCGAAATCATCAAACAGATTCAGCCAGTGGCGGTCAATATGGCCCACCCTACCTTAAACAAAGCATAAGTGTGGTAGTCTCTCGAAGTTGAAATCAACCCAGAACCAGTACGTTCCCCTCTTCAGTATCACCCGTTTCTTAAGCGGATGCTGAACATCAACACTGGCTTGAACTATATTATGAAAGCCTTCCAACCTCCTGAAAGCTCCTAAAAGTTAAGCCATCTTTATGAAACGTACCAGCAAAATTGCATACGTGCACCCAGAGAGCCTTGTACGTCAAGGATGCACTGCCAGATGTTCCAATACTTCCAATTTTTGCATCACAAGCAAATTGTTTTCAAAAGACCAAGGTCCTTTTGTCATGACCCTATTGATACCAAATTCATGAAGAAACTAGAAAATATATCGCCTTTCGCCAACCTCCCGAATATTTACACCTCTTCTCGGTCACCATATGTCAGCAATAATAGTATCTTCAAAAAAAGTGAATTTTACTGGTTCATCTGATGGAATTCGACCTGCTGCCACATATGGGTGTTTTGCAGGTGTTTCCTCCAAAACATCTCACCCATGTCCACGCCTTCCACTTCCTCGTCTTTCAGTGATAGCCTAGCATATAGTTCTTCCATCATTCCAATCTATCATGCCATTTCGAGAAGAAGAATTGGAATCCGTGTCAAACTTATGAGAACTCAAAGAAATATCTGTAAAAGCGTAGACTACTAGAAGGGAAGGAGACTTTCTGAACTAAAGCGTCTTTTATATTGTCATGTCTAACATATTACAAATGCAGATCAATAAATAGTTTAATACTATCAATGTATATGCAGCATTTGATTCACTTACATTCCCACCTTTCCACTCCCCCTTTCCGGTTCTTGTTGTAAAGAAATCATCCAACATATTTAAATATGATGCCTGTTTCCCTAGTTAAGAGGCCTTATATTGGTAGGCATTATTATTACATGTAAACCTTTTCTGAATTACATTGCCTCTTTGGTTTCTCTTGAGTCTAGACTCTACTTTTGAGTGGGACATCCTGGCTTTGCTTGATTTGTTTCTTTTTTCTGGCTCTCAATTTTTCTCTTTTTCAATATATAAACTTACCTAAGTGTTTTATGTATTCCGTTGGTACGTATTTTGCTTTCTCTAATAATGTGGTGGTGTATCTTCAATTTCTTTCTATTCCTGGTTAAAGCTGTTTAATCCATGCCTATGTTTGAAATTGTTAAATGTTAATGTAGCATCTTTAGATTCAACAGCTCAAACCGGTGATACACATCTTGGTGATTGGCGGGAAGAAGCTTACCAAAAGGTACCACATTCCTTTAATCATCTATCTTTGGAACTCACGAGTGTTACTTTAAATGTTCTTTATTGAGTAGACAGGGTAAGTGAAAAATATCAATAAGAATTAAGAAGTAAAGGTACAATGTTCCTTTCATCAGCTATCTTAGAAACTCATGAATGTTTGATTTCTCTCAATTGAATGGACAGGTTAACGAAAGATATCAACAAGAAGTGAATCCCATGATTTTTTGTTGTTCCAGCATTTCATGTTATGTTATAGAGATTGGATTAGATACATATGATTTTTGAGAGAAAATTATAAGATGCTTGAGATTGCTGTTACATTATTTAGATGAAATTACGTAATGCCTTCAGTGTAGTCATTCCTTTCTATAAAGAACCATTGTCCGTAGTTTGCTTTGGATTTGCTGATATTATAGATATGGGTTATTGATTTTCCTGATGTACCATATTGATATCCTATTTGCAAGCCCCGTTCTTATCTCTGGACTTGTAAACTGGGCAACTAAAGCTTTTGTTATTGCAGCTCAAGACCTTGAAAGAGATGCATTTTATGGATCTAAATGAAGTGTTCCAGAAGCTTTGTAGTAAATTGGCTCAGGTGAGATGCGCCCATGCTTGATAAACACATCTAATAATTTATAATTGCATCTGATTTAGCTTCTGGATCTAGTTGAAACATTTCTATACATGTTTGCCACTTCCTGTTCTGGCTTTTTATAAATTTAAACATTTCAATACAGGCAGGGTCATTGTTAAGTTTTGAATGTGTTTCATTATGATATCCATTCATGGTAATTTAGGTCAGGAATTTCTGAAAAGCAGGTGCTGGAGGTACATCATACTGGGTCTTTTGTCTTAAACAAATTGTTTTGAAATTGGCCATTTTAAGTGAAAATCTCAGGGATGTGATAGAATTATGGAAATAGTTGAAGGCTTGAAGTGCATGTGAAAATCTTTGTCTATTTATGTTGACAGACGAATTTAGTTTCAGCATTGAACTAACATGCTGAAATCCCACTGCCTGTTTTTGCAATTAACAATACTCCCTCCGTATTTAAAAGTTTGCTACACTTTCCTATTTGGGATGTATTTAAAAGTTTGTTACACTTTCCCTTTTTGGTAAGTTTTTCTTTTAAAAATACTCAATTACCCTTACCTTTTCTACTTTTTATCTTCTCTTTCCTACTTTTTTACTTTCTCTCCTACTTTTTCTACACTATTCATTACCCCTACTATTCTCTCCTTAAATCTTGTGCCAACACCTAATGTAGAGATCTTTCGTAACGGATGGAGTATAAAATAGCAAACTGGTGATCTATGTTGCACGGAAAGTCGGAAACGGGAAATGTCAACTTTTGCTCAAAAAAGGCTTGTTTGGAGAGTTTCTGAAATGGAAACGTGTTCTTTCCCAAGAGTTTCCGTGCTACGTATGTGACAATTCATAAAAGCATGAGAACGGGGGGGGGGGGGGGGGGGGTTGGAAACGTATTCTTTCCCGAGAGTTTCCGTGCTACGTACGACATTTCTCTTTAATACTTTGTATTGATGAAGAAAAACTTTAGTTTATTAAGTTATAGTTTATATACAACTGTATATGATGAAGAAAAACATAAGTTTATAAAGTTATACTACCTCCGTCCCATTAGAAGGTTCTTGTCCACTATTCACATGGTCAACTTAAATCATTTTTAATCTTTTACTTTATAAATCATTTTTTTTATCAAATTTGCATTTTTTTATCAGGCTTTGTAGCGGTTTTAATGTAGTTTCTGAATTTGTTAATTTTATTTACTTAAAATAATCAGAGTGTGAACAGGGATTAAGTTGCTTTATCGTCAGTCAAGCATCGTAAACCATCAACGGGAACAATCTAGCGGGACGGAGGGAGTAGTTTATATCAACGGGATTAGTTTATTGACGGTGCTGGAATGCAGAGAAATAGGAGTCAAAAACTGTTTTCATATGAACGGAGTTCATTTTTGATATTTAGACTTTCAAACCACTCCAATTGGTCTAAGAGTCTGTTTACTAACAGAAATATTTTCTAGTTTTCTGTTTCTGTTTTTCGTTCTCCAATTTTCTGTTTTCATTTTTTCAGTTTTTCTATCTCCAATTTTTTGTTTTCATTTTTTAGTTTTCCAATTTCGTATCTAAAAACCTAAGTAGCACGGAAACGGGAAACGCGAAACGGGAAACGGGAAACGCGAGAAACATGATTTCTAGAAAAAGTAGGATACGAAACATGGGGGAAACGCGTAAATATTAAAAAATATAAGGATATATTTGTAAATATTTTTTCATATGTATACAGATTTTTTCATTTATATATATATATATATATATATATATATATATATATATATATATGCACATGACATTTTCATATAACTTGCTTAATAGCTCAATAATAAAAGCATTCTACATGTTCAAATTTACAAATTATTACATAATTAAACATAGAACGCAATTCATTCGTAGCAATTGCGTTATGAAATGACACAATGCTGCTACGAGGATATAACACAGAAAATCACTGTTTTTTAAGACACTATTTTCCATCATAGGACCTCTTAAAAAAGAAAAAAAATGAAAATTCACGGTTTCTGAAACCCTTATTATTTAGGGAAACGGGTTTCCCAATTCTTCTTAATTACAGAAACGGCCCCGAAACGGGAATTTGAAGTTTCCGAGTTTCCGACACGCTTTCGAGTTTCCGAAACGGGGAAACGTGAGTTGCGTAGAGTTTCCGTGCTTCATAGCTAAAAACATGTTCATACATTTTTTACCTGGTTCTCTGACTGACAAAAGACGGAAAGTACGATCCCAGTCCGGAACCAAACCTAGTACAACCCAAGTAGGGTACTGGGTCCCACATATAGGAAAGTTGCGATCGTAACCGGTCGGTCCCGATCGATCTCAACAGTTAGTTTGATGAATTTTTTTCTCATTTCCCTATTGGTCGACAACTCAATGGCTGTTTTAAAACTCTTCACTTTAAAAAATGATTTCGAAAAATCGAGACTGAACCGTCGGGTCATTGACCAACCCTGACAGGGACCGCCGGGTCGTTTACGGGACTGGATCAGGACCGTCTGATTGTCGACCGGACCAAACAAAGATCGTCGGGTCATTTGTCAGACATGATGGGGACTGTCGGGTTGTTGATCAGACAGGACGGGGACCACTGGGTGGTTGACCAGACAGGACGGGACTGCCGGGTCATTGACCAGACCAAATGGGGACCGCCGAGTCGTTGACTAGACCGGATTCGACCTTGACTGCCCGATAGTTGATCAAACCGAACAAGTACGGTCTGATCGTGGATCGGATATGACAGGGGTCGTCGGGTCATCGACCGGACCGGATAGGGACCGTTGGGTCGTGGACCGGATCAGACATGCACCGCCGAGTCATGGATCAGAACGGACAGGGACCGAACCGTCGGGTCATGGACCAGACCGGACAGGGACCGTCGAGTGGTGGACCAGACCAGATAAGGACCGTCGGTTCGTTGTTCGGACCGGGACCATCGGGTCGTCAACCAGACCGGCACCGTTGGGTTATCGATCGGACTGGACCGGGATTGCTCGGTCATCGACCGGACCGGACATGAACCGCCAGGTCGATGACCAGGCCAAACCGCCGGGTTGTTGACCGGACCAGATAGGGACCGTCGGGTCTTTGACCGGATCAGACTCGAACTGACACCGAGCAGGATCGGATCCAACACTAGGTGTAAGTATGCAAATTCATTGCAACGACACTGCAGCATCCGCGTTTTCCAAATTTGGAAAATTGGTAAAAGTCACTGCTCCAATTCAGTAAGGAAAACAGAGACATATCTCATTTTTTTTGGTTTTGGAAAACGATTTGGTAAACGTGTTTTCTGTTTTCCTTTTTCCAGTTTTCTAGAATTGTTTTTGGTAAACACGTTTTCTGTTTTTTGTTTTCCAGTTTTCCAGTTTTCTGAAAAATTGGAAAATATCTCTGTTAGTAAACAAGCCCTAACTTTTTAATAAACACATTCAGTAGTTCAAAACCTAGTTGTTACGGCGCTGCCATGTCATTGCCTTATGTCTTCCGGTGTCGCCGCATTGACGACAGGGCGTCCAAACGACGCCATAGCCGCCCCATGGTGCTGCAGATTGTAACCCTGTCTGGTCTGAACAGGCCGAGACTAGTTGCCCATCGTCTCACTCGTCGTTGCCGTCTCACTTATCACTGTCGCCTCGCTCGTTGGCATCCAGTGCATCTCAGTTTTTTTATTTTTCGGCCTTCTCAGTTCCTTTTTTTACTGCAGCGTTCTTTAACTGCAGTTGATTTTGTTAACTGCAGCAGTGGGTAACAAATTTAAACTCTAAATTTTGATTTATTTTCTGAAAACAAAATTGCTTTCTATTTTTTTGCAGTTGATTTTGTTTACTGCAGCAGTGGGTAACAAATTTAAACTCTAAATTTTTATTTATTTTCTGAAAACAAAATTGCTTTCTATTTTTTGTATCAGTAATTGATAAGTCTTTTGTCTTATGATTAATTAGTTATGGTCTTATGGATTATGTTGTTTCTATGATTACATGTTTTACTCCTTGAATTTTGATGGTGTCTAATCTTAGTAGTTTTGGTTATAAGTGTTACATGTAGGCTGTAGTATATAAAACATATTATGCATTTATTATTGCATTATTTCGTATCTCCGTGATGTCGCCATGGCGGGCGCCATTTCGCCATGGCGGGCGCCATTTCGCCATGGCGGGCGCCATTTCGCCATGGCGGGCGCCATTTCGCCATGGCGGGCACCATTTCGCCATGGCGGTATGGCAGTCTGGTGGCGCCGCGCCGCGAAACCCTGCCATAACAACTATAGTATTGAAGTTAGTTTCTGAAACTAACATGTGGGAATTCATAAATGCGTGTGCTGTGGCCTATAACTCGAGCCCATTAAAAACTAGCACACATCATTAGACTCAGAGGAAGGATGTTATATTATACCTTTCTCTTTAAATTTAATTTACAGAAAATCCTATGTCGTTTCTTAGAACATATTTTTCATTTTCTTTTTGCAGTATGACTCTCTTCCCCAACAGCCAAACAATGAGCAAATGGAAAAGCTTAAAAGTTTTAAGGCTGTGGCGGGATACATTTTACAATTGTTGAGGCTTAACAAGAATGACATTCAACCGCACCTCAAAGAAAGGCTGCCAAACATTGAGTCTCAAATAGCATTTTTTCTTAACCCCAACCGGGCCCGGAAACCTCAGCCTCCACAAACCTTTGATGGCCAAATTAATCTCCGGTCGCATTCTCTAAATTTACCAGGTGCAATGTCTTCCATGCAGCAGAGCAATTTCAACGACATGCAGCAGCATAATCCCATGTCTTCTGCAACTGCAGTCTCAAACTCCCAGCAAAACATGCTATCTAAAATGCAGATGGGAGCTGGCATGGACATGGTAGGGCAGTGTAGTTCATTAAATTCACTGCAGCAAGTTTCTAGTGGTGCTTTACACCAAAGTTCTATCAATGGTTCTCAACAAATGAACCTAAGCTCATTTTCATCACAAGACGGAGCAAATTCACTTCAGACAACCCTTCAGCAAAACTCTAATGTGCTACAGCATCCTAGGCAACATGATCAGCAAATGCTGCAGAACCAACAGCTCAGACAACAGATTCATCAGCGGCAGATTGAGCAACAGATTTTTCAGAAGCAACTTCAACAGCAGCAGCAAATAAAGCAAGCACAAGCTCCACCAGCTGCACAGTCGATGACGCAACTCCACCAAATGGTTGATACAACAAATGATCTAAAGATGAGGCAGCAAATAGGTGTTATGAAATCAAGTGTCTTCCAGCAGCATCAGCCATTTGGCCCACACGTGGCTTTGCATCACCCACAGCTTAAGTCAAGTATATCTTCACCTCAATTTCATCAGACATCTTCTCCTCAGCTTTCCCAGCATTCTTCGCCTCAATTTGACCAGCAAAATGCTTTCACAACTCATACAAAAACGGGAACACCTCTTCAATCTGCCAGTTCACCTTTTGCCCAATCTCCTTCTACCCCCTTGGCTCCATCACCAATGCCAGGCGAATTTGAAAAAGTTAGCATGGGTGCTCCATCTCTTCTTGGTCCTGGGAATTTGGGGATTCATCAAACAACTTCTGCATCAGCTCAGTCTCTAGCTATTGATACTCCAGGAATATCAACGTCGCCATTGCTACCAGAAATTAACAGCCTAGATGGCGCACATGCAAATCTATCAACTTCCATTTCTGGGAAGTCAACAGTTGAACAACCTATGGGACGCTTGGTTAATGCGGTTAGTATAATTCCACGTTTTTGTTATGACCTTGCATTTTTGTCCTTGAGTCTTTGTTTAACCTACCTATACTATATTCAGGTAAGAACACTGTCAACTAAGGCTTTGAGTACCTCTGTTAGTGACATCAGCTCTGTCATCAGTATGATTGATAGAATAGCTGGATCTGCACCAGGAAATGGCTCTAGAGCAGCTATTGGTGAAGATTTGGTTGCCATGACGAAATGTCGGTTGCACACAAGAAATTTCTTCACGCATGATGGACCTACTGGACAAAAAAGAAAGAAATGCTATACCACGTCAAATGTAGTGTCATGTAGTGGGAGTGTTAATCATGGGTTTGAACTCTGGAATTGCTCTGAAGCATCTGATTTGGAGTCTACAGCAATTTCCAACATTAAGAAACTCAAGGTATAGTATCTGTCTACTACTCCCTCCGTCCCATTTTGTAAGATGCACTTTCCTTTTTGTGTTGTCCAAAAAGTATGATCACTTTATAAAATTGGACTCCACTAACTTTTTACTTTCCCACTTTATCCCTTTATCTACCATTTCACCCTTCACTTTTTGTGGATCCATTTTTCTCTTTCTTACTTTTTGGAGGGTAGTATTGTAAAACAACCACATTATCCTTTATTTTCTTAAAACCCACACCAAACCCACACGCATCTTACATTATGGGACGGAGGTAGTATTATCTTTAAGTTATTGAAGGAGAAGATCATATTTTACTTGTTGTACATTAGGATATATCCTTTCCAATCTTACAGTATGTATTTACTGGAGATGTTTTCCTTTGAATAGATGAAAAGGCAGATGATTATTGTACAAAATATGGGATACTTTTGACACACTTATCAGTGCATGGAATATTGACTTTTCTAACCCATACTACATAGGAATGTCTTCCTCTATGATTTTCTGTTGAAATAAACAACTGTTAGAGATGCTCCTGTAAATAATAAAGCTGATAAGTACTTTGGGAGAGTTTATTCTAGAAAGGGAAAGAATAATAAGAATAACAGTTAATGAGCTGGCACTTTCTGTAATTAGCTATCTGTCGGTTAATAGCTATGATAGTATAAATAACTAGTCTGTGAAGTAGTTGGGCAGGCGGTTAGACAGTTTAATCTGGACCGGGAAGATTGAGACTCATCATCTCTCTCTTTGGTGGCTTCGGTTGGAATCTGTTCATCAATAATAAAGTTGGGGATTGTTTCTTTGAGTAATTGTTCATCTTTTCTGTAAATCTGTGATTACCTGGAGTAGTTCTATTAGTGGTATCAGAGCACGTCGATCTGTGGATGATCTTTACACGTGCGAAAATGGAAGGAAGATTGAACGAATTGGAGCGGCATCAACAAGAAACAGCGGCAACCACTGCGGCGACCTTAGCTGCGTTACAAACAAGCATCGCGAATATAGAGAGGAGGTTACAGAATCGTTTGCGAAGTAGGTCGCATGCATCTTCCGCATCGCACTTCGCACCATCATCATTCGTGACATTCAGCGAGGCCTGATGATTCGGAAGGAAATTTTGAGTTTTCACCGCCATATCGCTATCGCAGACACCACCGGGAGCATAACAATCATCATCAAACAGGAAGGAAAATAGATTTGCCGCTGTTCAACGGTGATGAAGCCTATGGCTGGTTAGTGAGAATTGATTGCTATTTCCGGCTCAACCAAATACAGGAAGAAGAGAAGATAAATGTGGCTGTGGTAGCTATGGAGGACAGAGCGCTTAGCTGGTTCCAATGGTGGGAGAATCAAGCGCGTGAGAAGAACTGGGAAACATTGAAGGAAGCGTTAACTCGTCGTTTCCAACCTGAACTGGTTCAGAATCCCTTGGGTCCTCTATTAGGTCTGAAACAGAAGGGAACTATGAAGGACTTCCGAGAACAGTTTGAAATGGCCATTGCTTCACATGGAGATCTGAGTAGGAAGGTGACAAAGGGCATCTTCTTGAATGGATTGAAGAAAGTCATTAGAGCTGAGTTAAAGCTCTATAATTCAAGGGATTTGGCTGAGATCTTGGACACAACATTGTTGATTGAGAACAAAAACAATGAAATTGTGTCCAGGAGACATAAGGAAGAAAGGAAGAGAGTTTGGAAGAATAATCTGACAGGGGGACAGAGCTATAACAAATGGGGAGATGGAAGTAGTGGAAGTTATAGCCAGACATCTACAAATCATTTTGGAAAGAATTCAGTTGATAACAAGAAGGTGGAGGAATTGACCAACTCTATTCAAAAGAAGATAGGCCCCAGATTATCACAGAATGAATTGCAGGAGAGAAGTAGGAAGGGGTTATGTTTTAAATGTGGTGAGAAATGGAATCGAGGTCATATTTGCAAAATGAAAAACTTCAAAATGGTGCTTGTAGAACAGTCTGAAGGGGAGGAAGAATCAGATGTTGCCTCTAGTGAATCTGAAGAAGGAGAAGGGCTTCATATGGAATCCAAAACTATGCAGTTATATGTCTTGAGCAAAGAAGGGATACCTTCCATGAGAACCTTCTGGTAATAATGAAAGACGGGATCTGAAGCTATGATGTTGGAATAAAAAAAACCTAACTTCCTATCCTGGGCAAGGAAGGTGATTTCTGGCTCCACCAGTAAATCAAGAGATTAATTAATCCAAACTTAATACTTTATTCAAACTGATAAGCCTTATATAGGCAGAAATAAGGTTCCAAAATAATATTAGGAAACAGATCTAAATTATTACAGACTCATTAATAAGAGATTGCCTAGAATAAGGAAAGCTAGATAAATGGAAATAACTATGATAAGGAAATCAGAATAAAAGGAAACAACTAGAATAACTAAAGGGAAATATTTAGGAAAGCTTGTGGTCAATTAATTAGGCCCCTTTTATGCGCCTCTGGTACACACAACCAAAACGATGTGTATCATCACTCCCTCCATTAGCAACAAGCTTGTCCTCAAGCTTGAAATCTGGAAATGTCTCTCGAAATATAGCATAATTCTCCCAGGTGGCCTCAGCTTCCCGTTTACCCTCCCAATGTACCAAGAGCTCATACTGAACATTGTTGTGGCGAACCTGCAAAACAGCTAAGGGACAAACCAGAAGTGGTTCAGTCACGAGTGGTGGCAGTTCACCCATTTGTGTTGGTGTGGGACCTGAGTGAGGTTTCAGAAGGGACTCAGGGAGACGTGAAACACATTATGAAGTACCCGGTGGCAAAGTCAAGCGGTAGGCTGCGAGCCCAATAGCTTCTGAAACTTGAAAAGGCCCAAAGAACTTTGGAAAAAGTTTGTGGTGACAACGGCTAACTGTGAGTTGCCTATAAGGGTGAGTGCGTAGCCAAACCCAATCTCCTGGAGCGAATGTTACCTCACGATGGCCTCTATCATATTGTAGCTTCATTCTTTGTTGAGCTTGGGTCAGACGGCCTTTAGCAGCAGTGAGGATGGCATCGCAGTCAAGGAGCTCATAGTCAATGCTATCCAGTTTGGCAGTTCCTGGTGTCTAAGACAGAAGCTTGGGTGGTTCTCTGCCATAGACAAGCCGAAATGGAGTATCTCTAAAGGAGGAGTGGTAGGAAGTATTGTAGCAATACTCAACCCAAGGCAACCAGCGTACCCAATCTCGGGGTCTATCACTTGTGAGGCATCGAAGAAACATTTCAACGGTGCGATTGACAACTTCTGTGTGACCATCAGTTTGTGGATGATAGGCAGAGGAGAAAGCCAGCTTTGTACCGCTAAGGCAGAATAATTCCCTCCAAAAAGTACTGACAAAAATTTTATCACGATCTGAGACAATGGACTCGGGCAACCCATGAAGCCGGAATATTTCCGTGAAAAAAACTGCAGCAACAGACATGGCAGTGAATGGATGACTCAGAGCAAGAAAGTGAGCTGCCTTAGAAAGCCGGTCCACCACCACAAGAATGACTGATTTGCCCTGGACTTTGGGTAGGCCTTCAATAAAGTCCATCAAGACGTCTGCCCAAATATGAGTAGGAATAGGCAGCGTTGTAGTAGGCCAGCTGGTTGTGTGTTAAGCCACTTGTCCAGAAGAGATGTGTATGGAACAGAAAGGGCAGCAATGCATGCTTGATCTTCATGGCAGCGTGATAAGGCATCAGCTGCAATATTGTGTTTGCCCGGTTTGTACTCAACATTGAAATCATAACCCATAAGCAGATAAGCTTGCTCAGCCAATGTTGTTGAGGAGTGGTGGTGAGCCACTGGTCCAGCAGGTGCTTAAGGCTAGAATGGTCAGGAACTCCCGGCCCCATAGATATGGACGCCAATGTGTGACTGATTTAGCTAGTCCAATAAGTTCCTGTTCATAAGCTGCCAACGTAATGTGTCTGGCTGCAATTTTGCGGCTGAAATATGCTATTGGATGTCCTTCCTGCTGCAAGACTGCCCCGAACCCGCTCCCTGAAGCATCACATTCAATAAGAAAGGGCTTAGTAAAATCAGGTAACTGGAGAACTGGGGCAGTGGAAATGCAATGCTTGAGATTATTAAAAGCCGATTCAGCTTCGGGGTTCCAGTTAAAAGAGTTCTTCTTCAAGAGTTGAGTGAGAGGGGTTGTTATGGTGCCATAGTTCTGGATGAACTTGCGATAGTAACCTGCGAGTCCAAGGAAACCGCGTGAGAGCAGTTAGGGTTCCTGGTACAGGCCAATTACGGACAGCCGTGACCTTGGTTTGATCGACTTCAACACCGCCATTGTGGATAACATGTCCCAGATAATCTACTCTTACTTCCCCAAAACTGCATTTGGAATGTTTAAATAACAAACCATGGGCTAATAAGAGTTCAAAGACCAAGCGTACATGGTGTACATGTTCTACCCAAGTCTTGCTATAGATGAGAATATCATCAAAAAAGACAAGCACAAGATATGGTCCAAAAATATCATTCATCAAGCTTTGGAAGGTGGAAGGTGCATTAGTTAGACCAAAGGGCATTACCAGAAATTTGAAGTGGCCGTGGTGTGTACGGAACGCTGTTTTAGGCACGTCTTCAGGAGCCATGCGTATCTGGTGATACCCGGAATGAAGGTCTAATTCAGCTCGTCCAGTAACTCATCTATCACTGGAATTGGATATTTATCTTTGATAGTGCGAGCATTGAGTTCACGATAATCCACACAGAAGCGCCATGTATTATCGTGCTTTTTTACCAAAAGAACTGGAGACGAGAAAGGGGACTGACTCCGTTGAATGATTCCTTATTCCAGCATTGTGGTGCACTGCCGTTCGATTTCATCTTTCTGAAAGTAGGATATCGGTATGGCCGCACTACCACAGGTTCAGCACCTAAGATCAGTGTAATACGATGGTCACATGATCTAGAAGGAGGCAGACCCACGGGCTCACAAAAGAGGTCAGTAAAGTTGCCCAAATGTGCTTCCAGTATAGC